CACACACACACACACACACACACGGGGAGTACATCACATACCGTACTGTGAAAGACAACGCTGTGGCCATTCCCCCCACTCTCTATGTGGGTGGCGAGGTTGAGACAGACGGCTCTTTGGCGAATAGCGTCCATAGTTTGGACATCAAAGAAGTCCTGGGGTCTTGCTGCATGGACAAGAAAACAGATTTTAATGAAAGACAAGTAGAAAAACAAACAAAAACACACACATCAATATGAAATATAGTAAAGATAATGATGACAAACTTTTTCTGGAAAGGATATGGACGAACTAATACAAATAGAAAAAAGAACTAGCTGGGTTAAAGAAGTGGTTTGATTATAATAGGCTATCCTTAAACAAAAATAAAACCAAATTTATGATATTTTCTGATAATCGGACCTACAATAATAATGCAAAGGTATGCATAAATGGAGTTGAAATCGAAAGAGTTTATGAAACTAAATTTTTTGATATAATTCTGGACAGCAAACTTAGTTAGAAACCTAACATTGAAGAGATTAGAACTAAAATATTAAAAACTATTGGATTACTGTTTAAAATAAAAAAATCTAATAAATGTAAAAGGCTTGTATGTTATAAAACCCTCCTTGATTATGCCCTATTTATTATATTTCTCAGAAATATGTGGCAATGCAAAAAATAAAAAAATAAAACTACTGACATACTAAATTACAAAAAAGCTAGTAGCTTATTAATAAAGTGGGATATCATGAACCAACTAATACACTTTTCATTCAAAGTACAGTATTTGTATTCTGTAACCATGTCTGCATGTAATATATGTATGTATACACATGTATATGTATGCATGTATGGTGGGCAGTAGATATTGATTTTTTTTGTAGACTGGGAGTATTTGAATAGGATAGGCAATTATAAGCCTTGACTTCAGCCTACTCCCTTTTTGGTCAATTGATTTGTGTTTGTAAAATAGTTTCAATTTGTTTTCTTTTTCTTGTAAAGTAAATTTACCAAAATAAATCTAAATAATAGCAAACAATGTCATAGTTTTCTGTAAATAACATTGTCATCTGAATGATCCTCCTGTGATGTGGATAATTTATGAATTTCTACAGCACGGAGCCAACACACAGGTGAGAGGCAGTCAACAACAAACTAGAAAACGAATGAAAATACAACAAAAATCGATATAATGGTGCTCCATATTCCTTAAGTAATGTTGTATTGTCACATCTCAGCAATATATTCATAATTCACATATACTCAGCCAAAAACTTCCTTTCTTGCATTTATCTAAGTATTTTCAAAAAGTGAAATACAGAAATACCATAATTGTGCTAATTTTGTAATCCTCCTTTTGAGGGGGAAAATACAGAAGAGAAAGCCAACAGTGATCAGGTTGGTTTGTGTGTTGGTTGGTACGTACGTAGGGTCCATCTGCGCTTGTTTTTGAGTTTTTTCCTCTTGTTGAGTCCAGCTTTGGAAGGTGATTCCTCCTTAAGTTTGGCCTGGCTGGACATTTTGGAGGAGTTCTGCTGGCTGAAGTGACTGGGAACATGTCGAGCCAGTCCTCCTTGTGAAGCAAAGCTGGCATTGCAGCCACCGACTACGCACTGAAACAGGAAACGTAAAATTTATGCCGCAGCCTGGAAGTCAAATAAGTGCTTGAATTTGCAACCCCCCCACCCCAAGTTGTTTAGGTCCTTCCTCCAATGTATCGGTGTTAGCCGCGGTAGCCATGTTAGCAGTTTTCCAGCTCTCTCTCAGGAAGCTTGTGCAGCTAGTTGGTAAAAGCTGGGAGGAAATGTTGCTATTTCCTCGCTGCTTTATAAGGTGTTGCCACCAGTAAAAGTATTGCTACTTTAACTTAAATATTGCTTCTTGTTGGAAAGTGGGAGTACTGCTACTTCGCACCTGTGCTAGCGGTGAAATATTGCTATTTAGCTAGTCGAGAACGTCTTGCTACTTCCCCGGACCAGCAGACAACCGTAGGCTGGGAACAAGCGCCCTGTGACCGAGTTTGCACCCAGTTGATGGACAGTTTAGCTTCACACCCAGTGGTACAGTTGTCAGTAGGCTTCTGTGAGAAGCGAGAAGAGGTTTTTGAATAATGACTGACGCTATGTCAGCCCCTTTTATAGAGGAAGGGTCTGGGCCCCTCCTGACATAGACGTCACTTGTGTCAACCAATCAGGGCTGGCGTAATGAAATTTAAGCTTCTGATGAGGTCACGCAGGAAGCGTTCCCCATAGTGAGACACGAAACGAATGCTATGAAAGAGACAAAAACAAAAAACCTGTATAGGTCTTCTGGACGGGTTCTTCTCTAATGAATGAATCCCTACAGTGCTGCTATTGCCAATATCACTCCACCCCCTGTTAACAATAGGTGTTAATTAGGTGTCAACGATAGCCATGTGATGTGCGTATCAGTCACATGGAGGCAGGGCTTAAAAGCCTGAATTTTGCCTGAAACTCTCAGACTGAAGAAGTCTGTTGGAGGAGAGACGAAACGTTTCATTAGAGAAGAACCCGTCCAGAGGACATATACAATTTTTTTCTTTTTGATTTTTCACCTGGATTACTGAGATGCATCAGGACGCTTTGAAAGAGAACTGACTATGTTCACACTTCAGACATATGTGACCCAAATTTGATGTGTTCGCCTCTATGTGACTCATATCAGATTCTCATGACAATCTGAATGAGAGAAATCCATTTTTTTCTAATCCAACTCAGGTCTTTGTTTTTTAAAATGACCTCAGTCTGAACGCTCATGTCACATTTCATTCGACTTTTATGGCACCGAGGCAGAAATAAGCAGATCGATCCAAGTATTTAGAATATTGAAGCCAATTTTGTGCAGTTTAAAATATATTGGAACTCTGCACGTCTTCAAACACAGAACAGTTCAGCTGTTTCATCTCTTTTCTTTTAACGTGCCATGTCCTGGATGACAGAGCATCCACAGCAACATGTGATACTAACATTAGTGTCGGACTGTGATGGTACTAAAGTTATGGGAATAACACTGTAGTTTCACTTTCAGCCGTCACTCCTGTTCCAAAAAAACACAGCACTACGCAGGAGTAGCCAGCAAAAGACAGAGTCAAACGAAAACACTGGCCTAAATAAGCATAGAAGATAAATTCATCAGATCTGATCAAAATGTTATTCTTTTCACATAATGGAAGAGCGTCAAATCAGATAGTTTCAAAAACATTTTACTTTGTTCAGTGTAATAAAAATATAGGCTTTAACTGTCTTAAGGTATTGATTTTACAAAAACTAAATTTTAGGAGATTTTCTTTAGAGCAGATCAAGACTGAAGACTTAGTTTTACCTTAAAGGGTTTATCTCCACTGTGGGTCAACATGTGTCTTTGGAGCCAGCTCTGACTGGTGGAGGGTGTGTTGTACACTTTACAGCCCTTCCACAGACACACAAATACCTGAAATACAAAAGACACACACACACAAAAAAAAACATATAGACAAATAGGCAAAATATTAAAAGCAAACTCCAAATCTCTGCAACTGGAAATTTTCAACTAAATGCTCTACTTAAAATACTGGAATCATTTTAAGTATTTACTAGGGCTGCACAATCTATTGCAAATTTATCGTCATTGCAATAACGGCCTGTGCAATAGACAAATCGCAAAAAAACTGCATACACTGCAATAAAAAATGGTTGGCTCAAGGGTCTACATTTAAATTCAAAATTGAGTTTCATCTGATAAAATCCTTTTCTGTTGGATTTAGGTTTGTCTAACTTATTTAAAATACCTTAACCTATTTTCAGATGTTATTTATTGAAAAAAAAAAAACTGACAGTAAGCAGTAATTTAGAGCATGAGTCAAACTCAAGGCTCACGGGCCAAACATAGCCTGCAGGTGAATTTCGTCCAAACCACCAAGCCAAAAAACAAACAAACTTTGTTTTACTTAATATAAAAATTGTTTTTAAACCAATGCAAATTTTAAATTTACGATTCAATGCAACAAAATTAACTAATTTAAAAAGGTGAAAGATAATATTACTTGTCCTGCCCCTGAGCGGTTGGCTTTAAGTAACTGTAGCCCTCTGAGCAATTTAGTTGGATAGCACAGTATTAATGTCTGAGAATAAGCTGCTTTAAAGCCAGCATTGACCATAAACTACACCTCCCATAATGCACGTCAATTATGCATGGGAATTCCCTGTCGGAAAGCGGGAAAGTTCAGAATTCAAGCTGGCAGCTAGTTACCACAACTCTTCTGTGAATAAACTCTTATTTTTACTTGTAATAGTATTTCTGTATTATTTATTTCACATTTAGTTAGTCAAACGCTTAGAACTTTTCAGTGTTTATAAGAGGACATATTAAAACTCTGTTTCTATGCAACAAATACCACGTAGAGCTCAGTTATCGTGAACGTGACGTACTGTGTTTAGTCAAAGTGAATTACAACCGGACGTTTGAGGGTCACCGAAACGCTCAAGTGGCCCTTGATGAAAATGATCTAGAGCAGTGGTTCCCAAACTTTTTATCTTCTGACCCACAAACTATCCAGGGCAAAAACTGGTGACCCCAAATATTACTGGTCTGAGTACACAAACTTTGTTAATAACCCTAAAAACACAGGCTTTTTGACAATCTAAACAGCTTGTACACGAATATAAATACTTATTTTGTGTTTTTGTAATAATTATAGGAAAAATATTACATCAGCAATTATTTTATTACCCTTTAAATTGATTTCTGGAGATTATCCAAGGTGCTTCATGACCCATAATTGGGTCTCAAGCCCAACTTTGGGAACCAAAGTGCAGTGGTTCCAAAACTTTTCAGCTTTTGACCACAAAATAACAGCAGCAGAGAACTGAGCCACCAGCTATTTTTGGATGATAAACATTTGTATCAGATCAACTAATCATGGGCATAGTAACAATATTTTTATACACATTTATCCATTTTAAATACACTAACCTCACTCCTTTGTAACAACTAAGGCAAAAATGTAATTAATTTCGAAAATCTTTTCAGGACCCCACCTTGATGTTTCGGGATCCCACTTTGGGTCCCGACCCCAACTTTGGGAAACACTAATCTAGAGCATCATGTTTTATGGGTGCAATGTTTTAAAGTCATTAAGAAACTGTATTGCATAATTCAGCTGCTCGTTGAACTCTTAAAATAAAACTGTCATGCTGGAATGTAAACTGTGTATTAATTGTTGTTTTGCTTTGAACCCAGAGCAGAAAGACATCAACTCTGCATACTGAAGTAGTTCATTTATCACAAGTCATATTGTCATTAAGCAGCTATTGCGCATTTCAGGTTTTCCCCAACATCGTGCAGCCCTAGTATTTATGGTATTTTAAGAGAAAACAATTTTCTAACATTTACTTATGCATATGGCTCATTTTGAAAACCGTTCTCTTGACTATTTTTTTTTTTTGATAAGGTGAAGATTTTATACTCTAACTTGCTTTTTTTTCTTCTTCTTTTGCTCCATGTATGAGTCCAACCGCTGCTAAGCTCTGAAGAAAAGGCACCAACTTAGAATGAAAGAGTGAATAGGATCAACCCTAAGCTTGTCTAAAAAAACTTTTTAGGTCCACTAACCCCTCCTCTCTGCCCGTCCACATGGATTCCCCTGATGTGCTCCGCCAGATCAGGGCTGGAGTTAAAGCACTGCGGACAAAGGTCCCAGCAGCAGGGGTAAGCCAGGGTCTTGGCTGCAGAGGACCTGGCACTGCTCTGTCCATTCAGCATGGCAGGGGTGGACCGCCCGCTGGACACTATGCTTTCCATATCCATCAGGGTGCTGCTGCTGGTGCTGAAAGAAGGGAAAGACAGGAATTAATAGATCAGGCCTTCGCACAGACACGCAGAACAGGTGCAGATATTAAATTTGCCATATTACACAGTTACGAAGCGTGAAAGCCGTTCGAGGCTGGAATTGATTTTCTCTGCTTGCCTCAACCTCTCATGCCAGATCAATTTTATGCCACGTTTTTACTGCAACCTTTTAGAGGTTGTAGAGCAACTTTTCAAACCCCCAACCCCACAAATTATGTTACTATGTCCACTACGGAATTAGCTCCATATTTCAGGAAAGCTTCACTCTGATTTTTGTGCAAAGTGTTATAGTAAACAAGTACCATGTAACTGCATGAAGTAAAATGTTTCTGTGGTTGATCAGAACTTGGGCTGGAACAAAGAGAAGTAAACTACTAACACACAGGTCTGAGGGACACAAACACACACCACAATCTTGTCTAGAAATCTGGCCTTTGACAAAATATCAGCAATACAGATTTGTTTCACTAAAAAAAAAAATCATACAAACAAAAATAAAACGTGGAAATCCAGAGTTCACAGGAAATATGCCTAAAAACAGCAAGTGTAGCATGTGGTGATTTTAAACTTAAAGTATCCTATTCTAGTTCCTAAAAGAAGGGGTTTATTGTCACCAGCCTGCTCATCACAACCTGCTCTCCAACCGACCTGTCCTCGGAGTCCATGCGGCTCAACGGTTCACCGTCCGAGGATGAAATCTCCACGCTTGTCCGCCTCTTGTCGCCGCCTCCGCCGCTGGCTTTATCACCGTCCTCACAGACGGTCGTGCTCTTCTCGCTGTCGATCCCCGAACACCGGCTGTCGTCGTCGGGTTCCTCCTTGGCGTCTTTAATCGTGTCGTCACCGGCGTGCTCGTTGTTGCCATCTTCCAGGCACGGCCGCGACTCCGGTCTTTCCTTCGGTTCTTCGCACGCGGTTGGTGCCTCCTGGGTGACCGCTGAAGCCCCGTCGTCTCTTACCACGTCCCTCGCGGCCTTGTCTGCTGCTGCAGCGGGCTTCTTTTCGCCGGCCTCAGCGTCGTCCACCTCTTCCATTTTCGGCTCAACGCTGCTGCCTGCTTCTTTTGTTTCCGGTTCAGGGAGGCCGTTTTCTTTCTTCTCGGCATCGCCCTCGTTGGCCTCTTCAGGCGGCCCTTCGGTCCCAGAGCCCAGGGCGGCTGTTTCCTCGGCAGATACCGCGGCCATTTCAATGGCAGACAACAGAAAGGGACACTTTCGGTATTAAAATTTGATGCTACGGGCCAACGTTTCCATTCGGCAAGAAGGCGGGGCTTGATCACAATGTCTGCTCTCTAATTGGGTAAGGGGTACCACGAGGAGGGGAAGCGCTGACGTTTTTAAAGTTTCCATGTGTTTCCGAAAATCTGAACTTATTACTGTAAAGGTGGGCGCAAATGTGGAGTATTAAACTACAAAATATTACACTTCAAAATTTAAATACATTTTATATATCCTCAGTTTATTCCCCCCCCCACACAATATGCCTTTCATTTGCTACAAGTGTGTATAAAAGTTTAACTGAAGCAAATACATGGTAGCCGAATTGCAATGTATTAAACAGTAAATTATACAATCATTTCTAATATTTTCTTTTACCACCAAATGTGAGCTTAACACGTTTTATAATGGCACGATGAAAACAATGTGCTATTACTTACAAACCCCACCAGAGGGCGCAAGAGTTCTATTTATGATTGAGTATCAAACAGATCTCACAGGAACCAAATTTAAAATAATTTTTCATATTTAGTAATGTATGATTTAGTAATTTAGTATATAATATAATGTATATTTAGTAATGTATCATATTTAGTATTGTGTTTCGTTTTTTGGTAAATGTAAGCCTTTCTTTAAAGATCAAAAAAACTTTCAGACCTGCTTCAAGATGTGTTTGCTGTCTAATTTGCACGAAGAGTTGCTGTCTGCAAAATCATTGACCAAGCTCCATTTCTCATGTTTCACACCAAAGCTAAATGTAAATGCATTTTCCAAAGTGGCTGGAAACAAGAACGGAGAACAACAAAACACAAGCAGATGTTAAAAACAGCTACGTTTATTTTAACATGATATAAAACAGATGGGATATGAACATTTGCAAATCAACTCTGGTCTGTCACTATATGCTGGACATATCCTCTCATATAGATGTACCATGTACATTATATACACAGTTAACCTCTGATAATTACACTTTGTACACACACACAAAAATATCTTGAATTTACAAAAGCTTCATTTTATTGCTTTTTACACATGCAAATCCTATTTATTTAACTCCAGGGCTCTAAACCAACTATAGTATCAAGCTTTGAAAAACAAAGTGCCCTTCTCTCTGTTCAAATATATCTTTCAGTCAATAAGAAAAGGACAGTGAAGAGTGACTCGAGTCAGAACATTCATATATGTATTGGCAGCAATGTGTCAATGACAGGATCTAATCTTTAAATAAGTATAACCAGAAATATAAGAAATTACAAATATTATTAGTCTACAATGATAAAGTGACCCCTTCTTTTTTTATAATGAAGGGATCATATCTCTTATTACTCTTCAATATAGACTTTTTTTTCTTTTTTTACAATAGATGGATAAATATGACCGGTTCATTAATTAATAATATCTGTGAAACAAACTGAATTAAATATTAAAAGATTTGGGTGAACAAAAAATAATAATAATAATGCAAACATATCTTGAATTATTATTTTTGAACAGGTGTTTAAACAAAAGGTGGAAAATGTGACACAGCCTAAAATATTATGTCACAGGCCTTTAGATTTGCAAAAAGAGCTCAGTCTGTTAGTCTCTCAAATATACACCAGCACACATTCCAACAACAAGTTAAAAGAATCGTATAAATAATGAAAACAAAATTTAAAACCTTGTAAAAACTGAAACGGCACCAATGACAATAAGAAGCTGAAAGCGCTGCAGCCCCATGGTGGGGAAGTAAAAAAAAACATAAGAAATGCCACTCAAAAATTAAAATAATTTAAAAAAACTAGTAGCGACATCAGAGCTTTAGACGTCACAGTGAGCGTACAGAAGTCAAAGGTTAAGCCCTGTGAAGATGTAGGCAGTTTCACTTTCTGTAGACTAAAGCCTTGTGCTGAACTCCTGGACAGACGTCCTCAGGAGGAGCTTCATGCCCTCCCTGCAGATCCCTTCATGTGTAGGTCTTCACTGAGGCCAGAGCCTGTGCTGGACGACAAAACACGGAGTTTAAATTGACTAAAAATAGACAAAATCTTAAAGACAAATAGAAATAAACCACTTAATCAACACATCCCCCATCAAAAAAATAAAAAAAGAAAAATTTAAGTCAGGGGTCATGTTAATAGAGACAGTGAAAACAAGTCTTACAGCAACACAATCCTTGTATGGTTTGTTCTTTGTTTTATATGGTTTCAAAATAAGATGAGAAGAGACAAAGAATTGTTTGTTTTAAAATGGAAAAAAAGCAATAAAGCAATTGCTAAAATAAAAAAAAATAATAAATCAGTTTTTGTTTTTCAATTTAATTATATTTTGTTTTGTTATATTCTCTGGCAGAACAACAAATCATGGCCTGAATTCCTGCTTTATTACATTGTCACTTCTCACCATGGTGGTATATTTTATTTTGGATTTAGAAAGCTGAAGCAAAATCCAAACAGTGGGGATTCATAATTTGTTAGATTTTTACATTTAGGTTTTAAAATTGAAAAACAAACAAAAAAATTTATTTTTGCAATTTTATTTCCAAACTGATAAACCAAAGAATGAACCATGCACAGGTTTAACACAACACATCCCCTTCATCATGTTTAACTCCACAAGACAAATAAATAAATAAATAAATAAATAAATAAATAAATAAATAAATAAATAAATAAATAAGCACCACAGCCTTATGAAAATGAAGGAAACAGGATGATGAAGGGCCTTACTGTTGCTACTACACACACATGAAGTGAGAGCCGTCAGTGAGTTGAGGGGGTGTGGTGGGAGACTGTGGAAGGGGTGGGGAAGAGGACGACAGGCTTCGCACTGCAACAAAATAGCAACATGTTGAACACACAGGCAACAACAAACACATGAGAAAAAAAGGCTAATGAGATCAGGTACTGGTCACTGAACGGCAGAAATAAAACTGGACATCGATGACAAAACTTACTGAGTGTGTTAGGAAAAATAATCTGTTAAGCGCATACACAATGGTAGCAGCTAGAGTTTGTCTCTAAGCCCATGCATTTCTTTGATATAATCCTCCACCTTCTCTGCGTTTGGCCTCTGGAGATGTACCTGCTACCAGCTTGCTGCGTTTGGAGGCCTCTGCTGCCAACTCGTAGGAGATATTAATCATCTTCTCTTTCTCCTGTACAGTAACCTCCTCTTCATTCTCATCTTCTGGGCTTAAAGCCAAACTAGGTAGCACATTTGGCATACTAGGAGAAACATACACAAGTAAAGAATCTGTGTTAGTCACTGCAAAACTTTAATCATATGCATTTTATAAATCTAATTCCCAACTAACATTACTGATTAAAGGCATTAACTTACTCAGATTACAAGTTTCACCTTCCTAAATGTTTTTGTTTCCAGAAATACGCCAGATTAACTCTGAGTTAAGGCCATGCTTGTGCAGAATAACAAGTCATCTTCAATAAAGCGCTGATGCTTTTGAGTCAGTCGAGTTGTTTCTCAATACCAAGTGCACTGAGGTGCACAGTGATGACATCACAGCTCAGCTGAGCTCTTCAGTTTATCACTGTAGGGCCTCCCTGCATGTGAAATTATGATCTCTGATCATATTTTTAATCATTCCCATGGCACCGACTCAGAGAGGAGAAAACCCTCACTCCGTGTTGAACATTTGCCCTCAGACAACCCAAGACACTGGCTGCTTTATGACCTGAACTAACCTTCTAACAGTCCTTCTTTCTCCAAACAACCCCCCAGAGCATCTCTGGTCCTTATCTATCTCCAGAGCATGGAACAAACTGCTCCCACCGGAACTATCTTACTAAAGACAAAACTTTGTTTCAACTCTGAAAAACAGACTTCTCGACTCTGTTCGGGCCATAAACGTGTCAGATTTGTCACATTCTTATCAATTCACATTCTGTTTTCAAAACCTCAACAAGTTCTGTTTAACCTCAAGAGACTTTTGTTTTTCTTCCTCAAAGGGTCGTAAATTCCTCGCCTCCTTCCACCAGACTCTCTTCAGCTAGACTGAGATCAAAGAACTTACCATTGTTCATTCAATGTGAAAAGAAAAGAAACTTGGTTATCAAATCGTCTATTTTTGTATTAATCTGCAAAGAAATGTGATATAATCTGTTCTCTTGACAGGAACGAGAGGGTTTGTTTAATGAATTACTCACACACTAAGTTTAAGTATTAGGATTGTGTATTGTGTTTTAACTGTTTACAGGTGAAATGTCGCCTGACAATGTTTCTTTTAAATTCATGAAGTAACCAGTGTGTTTTCTATTACCTAAACGATGCTTTGTTTTATCCATATATTTAATCACTGTAGAACCTTGAGGACTTGATTTTTAATAATTAAATGGGTGATAATTTTCTTTTAGGATAATTATGATTATTTTCTAGTTACCATGAAGTTAAACATCTAAACAAGGTTACCTTGCCTTAAAGAACTTATTTACACTAAAGCTATTTGTAAAGAGATTAAATCCTCTTGTGTTATCACTCTGAGGCAAACCAGACGTTATTCTAAGCCTCTCCCATCTTTAATTAGATGCAAAATAATTAGACTAAACACACCCTTTTCTTTGTCTCGATAGTAGAAATTTTCCCTCCAACAAGCTGATTTGCTAAAACCCTTTTAGTTGACACCCCTGGTATGACGTGTAACATTTTAATTGAACAAACGCAACGACTAACTCCGACTAATCAGAGCCTTGAAAAGTTAGAGCGTGCTCCCAATCTAACAGTCTGCATGTTGGTTTCAAAGAGCAGAGTTTTCAGAAGCTTCAGCTCGTCTCTCTGACCGCAGACAAGCTTATTGCCAGCAAGGCTACCTCGGTCCTGCCAGCCCCCCACCATGGCTGCTCAGGACCCAGTCCCCTGCTTCTCCAGCCAGGCTGGACTCTCATCGTCATCGAGTTAATGTAACTTCATTAGAACAAGTAACTAAGTAATCGAGCCGACCCAAACAGGGTTTGAACTTTTATTGAAAGTAAAGTAAGCTAATTTTAACTCCATGCGTCATTTAACCCGCTTCTCTCTATGAAGTCTGGATCAACTCGGTACCTCCACCACTCTGAAGCACCCAATGGAGACGAGGTCTCCCACGTTCACCAGATGGTAACCCTGTTCTCTGACTAAACAGACTAATCGAGCCATGGGCACCTCCCGGTTGCCTGAAGGATTTTCCTCTGGGAACCAACACCCAGAGTCAACCCTCCGCCGCTGATCTCCTCCTGGTACCCACACAGCAGAAATAAGGGTAGGAAAACTAAACAATTTGCTGGTGACAAAATAACAGGGGCTCAGATACTCAGGTTAACGCTGATTCTTACCTTCGTATGAAAACTGGTAAAAATCTAAACTTTACAGTGTTCTCTCAACCTACTTGAATTTAACTTAAGACATTAGTTTAAATTCCCATCCGTAGGAACTCTCCTAACTATCATTCCTGCCTCAAAACCCCCTTTCAGTGCTTATTGGTTTGTTTGTTTTTGTCTGTTTTATTTGTTGGTTGCTATTGCTCAAACCATTGCTGTATTTACCCTTTTCATTCGCCATCATTCCATATCTGCCATAGTGTGTAAATACAATTTTAATCTGTAAATAAATGACGTGGAGAACATGTCAACACAAATTAATGTCTTTTTGTGTCTTGATAATGTTTTATTAATTCGTCTAAGACAAGAACTCATGATTAATTTTGGGTACTGATTCATTTTGAGATCGATTATGGTAAGAAAGCTACAGTTTTTCTTCTCTTTCCTGCGTTATAATTCTTAACAAAATAAAGAGTGGTGCCTCGAGTTTATTAATGTGAATTTTAATAATTCATAAACTATCGTAGGGATGTCCCGATACAACTTTTTCACTTCCGATACGATACCGATAATGCAACTTTGAGAACTGTCCGATACCGATATTGACCGATACCGATATTGACCGATACCAAAACAGTGTAAGTCACACACTTTTACCTATTTTGTAGTGTAAAATCTTAGAAAAGTCTTGATCAAGTCAAACAGTGAAAAAGAGTAGGTATGAGAAAAACTGACCCATTTATTTTTAACCAATGAATCACATACATTTTAGACTGAAGAACATTCTACAATTTAATAAATAAAATAAATTACAATACCCTGAAAAAATAACATAATAAAAACAAAATGTACTTTTAAAGTGTAAAATAATTCAAAATCGCTCCAGTTATTTTTTTCTACCATCTGTCCGCCTTGTGCTGCTTTATGGTGGGAATAACTGAAGGTGGGGACAAAACAAAACCCCACATTATTGTCTGTTCAAAGTAAAGAGTCCACAGGTACAATTTTACTGACTGTGCTCAAAACAACGTGATCATTGATAGATAGATAGATCTTTATTTGTCATTTGTGCATATACTAGCAGTTTATACACACTGGAATTCGTGTGTGGGCATCTTTCCTAGTCACAGTATAGATGACAGAACAGTAATGATAGAAAAAACATTATAAGGTCTAAGAAAACAGTATAAGAACAATAAAAAAAGTTAAAAAAAGGAAATACACACACACACACACACA